GAATTTTTATACTGAAACCAGATCTACTTATAAAAAAAGTTTTGCTTCTTTGTCAGTACTCTTCTATATGTAGATATATGTACATGTTTTATACACATGTTTGTTATTCCATAAATTCTCCACCCCCTGAATTTTTTTTAAATAAATAAATTGAACTAATTTTATTTTATGGTGAATCTTTATTTTAAAAATTTTCAAAATGAAAAGAAAAAAAAAATTATTTAAAATAAAAAATCAATAAAACAAGTTCAAAATGGAACTAGTTTCAAAGAAAAGTTATTTTAGAATAGCAAAGAAAAAAATATACTGCTGGTCTGGTTAATTATAAGATATTCATGTGGTATTCATGCACAAAGAATGCGGATGTTATCGTCACTATATTTAATCTCTTATCTGATTTAGAAATTTGTACTTGTACGTACTTGAATTTTACGTAGAGATTTCTAAAATAAATGGGTAATTGATAATATTAAATTTTATGTTTAATATTATTAGTTTTATCGAGCTTTAAACATAAATTTAGTTTTAATTTTTGAACTTAGTCGGAGAAGTTTCGAATGTATGTCCTGTCAAACGTTAATAAAATGCTCCAGCGATCTAGGAAACGTGTTTGCATATTTAAGTTAGTTAAAATGAAAGTTTTTTAACAATGACAGCAATAAAAATGAGAGTAATTTTGTTATACTAGCAATAGCGAGAGCAAGAAAACGCTTCTCTTTAAGCCGAAAATTTAAATCATGCTCGTATTTCTGCCTCTCGCAAAAAGGAGTAATTTTAATCTTTAATATTCTGTAAATAGCTAATGACTATAGTGACTGAAAAACGAGTTTACATTGAATTGTTAGGCCTAAACTGGAATAATCATTAAGCAAGGTAGTATCTAAATTATTTTTGCTCAATATACAAAAAGGGTATCATAAACATTAAATCACATTCAAAATATTATAATAATGATTATTAGAAAAAAATTCTCTTATTGAATGAAATAAGAAAAACTATTCAGAAATATTAAAAAAAAAATACAGTCACTGATAATTTATTCTTCAAAGTAGAGAAGATTTTTGTTTTCATTTTCATTATTCTGTCAGAATAGAACGTCAAACCAATGTCATTTCTGTCATTATTTTAAGTGTCATACTAATTGATTAGATGAAACAGGGGAAGGAAAGTTTTAAGTAAAAATATTTTGTGCACTCATAAATTAGAATCAAATACAAACAAATATTTAAAGTCTTGTATTTTTATTTTAATAAGTTATGAAAATTCAATAACAAAATAAAATATTCTTTTTAGAATTAATTAAAAAAAAAAACAAAAAACGAAAGTAAAATGAACTATGATTTTAGTTTTGTGATCCAATTGATGCTGTAAAGGAAAAAATGAAGTTTACTACAAAATCATGAATTATTTGACATTTTGTTACTTTATGTTCAATTCGTGATGGAATTTATGTGACAGCTTAACAGTAGAACAAAAGAAAAAACTTTTGTTATTGTTGGTTTTTTTTTTTTTGTTAACCAATAACTTATGATATTTTGGTAATAAAGACATTATAATAAATAATGTTATACTGTTTGTATAATAGAAATTATAATAGATCTTGAATTAATTATATATGAATTTAAAGTTATTACAATTCTATGGAAATAGAGATGGTTTTGCTTTGCTTTATAAAAGAATGTCAATTAGTCTTATTAGCACAAAATAAAATTGAAATCAAAAATTATGTAAATATATCATGCCAAAACTATAATTATGTGGTGGTGTTACAGCAAAACATGTTTCAATCAATCAATTCAATTCAAATTCTAAATTTTTATGTTTTTCAAATATTTTCCTTTCAACAATATTGTTTGAGAGCCATAACTAGGTAGTAGGATACATTGCAATTAATGGGCAAATTTCGATAGGGTTATTAAAAATATTGGGCTAATGAATGAAGTCTAATATTAAGGGTTCAGGCAGACATGCAATTTTTAATTTCGCAATCACTGGCTCTTACCAACTCTAACAAACTAAACAATTGCATCAATGCGTTAAATGAAAATTTTAATCACTTTGAACAAATAATGCAAACTGTTTGATTGCCTAATTGCATGCGACCATACTGTTGTATGTGTGCCGGCTTTAATATAAACTTACGGAACACAAAGCAATCAAACGGTTGCAAAATTAAAAATTGCATGTTTATCTGAACCCTAAGGATCAATCTAAGAAGAAAAGGAAATAATCAATTCGAACTAAGCGCTTTTTGCTCTTTACAACTTCCCAACGTTTCAGGGTAATCGGGTGAACAGTTTACTCGTGAAGAGTAGTCACAAGTAATTTAAAGAAAATTAGAACTTAGGCGTTGGAATGAAAAATTGTTGGAATGAGAAATTGCAATTTCCAATGAACAAATTGAACAAATTTCAAAACACCTGTATAATATATATATTTTCAAATTATTTTTATACCACATTTCTTTATTTGTCTAACATTAGTTGATCAGTTGTGTACCAAAACATAATATTACAAAGGGTAAGTTTAAAATTAGGAAAATAATGTAACATACAAATTAACGTCAAAATGTAAGTATTTGATTGTATTTCATTCCTGCTACCTTTTTTTTGACAAACATCAAGTTCTTCATATTTGAAAATTGATCATGTTCACTTTTCTATCTATATGTATCTGTTTAAATACTCGTACGTAGATAAAAATATTGCGAAAATGTATAAAAATTCAAAAAAGGAAAATGTATAAAATTATAAAAATGCCTTCTTCCAAATTTTAAAGAAGTCCGTCACCTATTTCCGGTCGCAGACTGAACTCAAATATTAAATTTCAACCCATTCCGTATCTTAGTTCCCTAAACATTTGATTTCTTAATAAAGGTTGTTCTTCGTACTGCCGAATGAAACTTTTATAAAATTTCAAGTTAATCTGTTGAATATTTTTTTCAAAATGATCAAAAGTCCAGTTTCCGGGCCCTAACATTTTCGAAATGTTGATCAAATCAATGCTTTCCCATTGCGGAGAAGTGCATTTCTACTGGAAACTCGATATGCTATATTTGGGTTTGGTAACCTCCTTTGTTTAATGAAATGCGGTTGGCAAAAATTGAATACATACTATTTAAATATTATTTTAAAGAAATCCCAAAAAATTATCTATATTATTGACATTACTAATTTATTGTCAATTATAAATTGAAAAGTTCTATCTGTGTTTGACTTATTTGGGTCGAATTGAAAATATTGTGCTTTTTTTTATTGTGCGATATTCCGAAGGAGGATATTTGTAATATGTGCAAGATATAATCGTTTGATGTCATTTTAATAAGTTTTTACCTACACATAATTTCATATAGTTGAAAGGTTGATTAAATGTTACATAAGCATGTTAAAAAATATGAACTTTTTCTATTCAAAAAGTAAAAAGTTAAAAACAATTCTTGGGTGAGTGCATTTAATCCGTTTTTTAAGATGAGATCAGAGTGCAGACTTAGACTATTGGAAAGTATTACAACATTATTTAAGTTTTTTTATATTATGTTTATAATATTTATACAGATGTGTATATACATATATAAATTATGTATGCTGGTGCATTAAAAATAATCTTTTATTGAAAAAACATTGAATAAATAAACTATAATCATGCGATGAATATAAAAAAAACAACAAAATTAAAATAAAAATTAAACGTGACATCCATTTTTCTTTTGCCAATTTAGTTGTACTTTTTATTTTTTTAATTTTTAAGGCATTAAAATTTTAAATAAAATGCCAAAAATTTAGTATGTATACTTATGTGCGAGTTACAATATTAACTATTCTTTAATTTATTTTCATTTCATGAAATTTTGTTTTTTAAGGTTACAAATGTCAATTGTTTAAAAGCGCATTATAACGTGCTTACAATTTTTTTTGTTGATAAAATACTCAATTTGTAAGTTTTTCATGTTTTATAGCCAATGTCAGATCAGTTTCGGAGATTTTATAATTTTAAAATATTTTTTCGGTATTTTACGAATTATAATGGTCTTCAAAGAGTGAAGAAAAAAAAAAATTTAAAATTTATTATGAGCAAAATGACTGCTAATGACAATGTCAATAAATGACATCTGTTTTGTTTTGAATCAATTATAAATTTTAACTGTAATTAAAAGGTTCTATAACTATTGAAAAAAAATATAAATAAATAAATGTTCACAGATTAATTATGAGGTCGTCATTAAAATTTATTATACCTACACAATAACAAATGCCTTTGCAAAATTTAAAGTGATTTAGTATTAAAAAATTTCGATTGCATAATTTATTTTAAATTTACATGCAATTTCTTTTAAAAATAAATACAATACTCTTAATATGTATGTAGAGATAATTTTAAGGATTTGAAAATTTAATAATATTTAGTAATAAACGAATTGTTACAATCAATGTTTATTCAACAAACAAGTAGTCCAGTTCAAAGTTGAGTTCCAGCCATTTTATTTCTCCGAAGAACTTGCTGCTACTAATAAAATTAGCTTACGTATATAATTTCAACAAATTAAAAATCCAAAAACATTAAATTTGTCCAAAATAAAGATGCAGTACACGTGACACATAAAAAACTTTAGGTTATAGTCTTCATATTTGCAACGAAAGCTGAACGAATTCATCACATTATTTCTTTTCTATCACGGAGAAATGCATTTCTGTCGAGAAGTCTGTCGAAATTTGGTGCTATCACATATTTATTGCATACAACTTCTTTTTGGATACATTGCGGTTGGTAAAAATTAAATCGAGTCATTGTTAGGTAATTGGCTTGGAAATTTTTCCCATCCAAATTAATAATTTATGCCAATTTTCGGGCAAATTTTTGAAGTTATGTGACTCAAATTTAGGCAGTATTATATACAATGTAACAATTTTTTCAACATTTTCTTATTTATTAAAAATTAAATTATAGCAACCACATTAAATATTTTTTCAATTTTAGTTTTTAATTTATTCTTTTTCAGAAACTGTTTTTCTTGATCATTCTATTAAATATTATTAATCAAAATACGAAATGCCAATATGTGAATCCAAAGCAAGTGAATTACCAATAACACCAACATTAACTGAAAGTGACCAAAATGCATCTGAGTTAGCAAAAATTAAAAAAGTACGGGAACAAGCATATTTTAATTCATATGATTTTGATGCGATTGAAGTTTTTCCACAATCATCATCCTCAACATCATCTTCATTATCGGACACATCAGTATCAGAAGATGAAATTAATTTTAGTAAAGAGAAATCTATAACAACAACAAATATTATAAATCAAAATATTATAAAAAACAAATCTACATCTGCTAACACAAAAAATAGTATACCAAATGATTCAAATAATAAATTCAAAGTTTCATCTATTACAAAAGCCTCAACAGAAACAACAACGAGAACTACAACAACCTCAGTAATAACCGCAAAATCAACCACAACAGCAACTTTACCAACACCAGAAGCAACAGCAACAACTAAAATATCAACAAAAACTCATGGCTATTTTGAACGTTTCAAATCTCTGTTGTCATCATCGAATGCCATAAAAAATATTAAAATTAAATCAATTGATAGACAGATATCAAATGATAGTGCTATACAAAGTGATTGTAATCATTTAAGTGACAATATAAACGATTGTCTAACAATAGATGATGACAATTCATGTTGTGGTGGTGGTGAAATCATTGATCGTAATAGTTTAAATAATAGTAGCAATAGCAGCTCCAAATCGACAACAAATTTATACAAAGGTAGCGGTAAAATTAACAGCAGTAATAATAATAATAATAATAATAATGGCGATAATAATAACAATAACAGTAACAATAAAGAAGTAAATAGTGGCAAGAAGACAAAGCATTCACCAAATGGATTTATTTTACCCCGAGCGATATTAAAATATCAAAAGTAAGTTTGTTTTTATTTTTTGTTTTAATAATAATTATTTTCATATGTTTTTAAAATATATAAAAATTTATAATAATGTATAAATTACAAAGTATTTAAAATTAAGCTAGTTTAACAAACAAATGATAGAAGAAAAAAAAATAACAACTTGTTTTGACATTCACATTTTTTCTCTGCATGATTGTTTGTTTGTGATTTGACTATAGAACTCAGTTGTCAACATAAAGGTGAAAAAGTTTTAAAAATAATTCAAGAAGATTAAACGATTTACTATATAGAATTATTTTTTAAGAGTTATCAAAAGGACTCAGCTTTATTCAGATTTAAAATGAAATGGTATGTAGTTGTGCCAAACAAGTTACTGTTAATTTTGAATGGAAGCAGAACCACTTATGTCAATAAAAGTAAAATTATAAAGTTATAAAATTATCAATAGTAAATAATAATTTAATTATGTTCACTAGGTTTTATGCATACATTAACCGTCCATTCACTGTTTCACTGATCAGATATCAAATATTTTTAGAATCAAAGCACCATATGACGTAATTTTTCCAAATTTGATTGTAAATATTTGTGAGGACTTAGCACGATCAATAAAATATACTTGACAATGGTTGTATCCTAAGTTGACATTTTGCATGGTAAACATTTTCATTGTCAATATTGTATACGAACATTTGAATATTTCTTATATGTCATTCTCTTGACTTTCCTTCATTTCGAAATGGGTTTTGGATGTTTGTTAATTGGATGAATCTTTGAATTTTTAATTTTTTTGTTGGAAAATCTAGATTTTAAACGGTATATTTTCTGAGAAATTCAGCAATCTGACAACACGGTTGATAACTAATACAACTATTTCAAACTTAGCAATCATTTGAGAAAGGACATATACGCTTCAAATTTCTTTTTTCTTGAATGCGGTTTTCTCTCATATGTGTGTGTTTCTACTTAGTTTTTCCGTTTAATGTGATATTTTCGAGACATTTTGAATATAAGAACATTGAATAGATTTACTTCACATAGTTCTAATCTTATGTAAATCTAAACTCAAATAAGGTCATTGATTTATAAATAAAAAATCAAGAGAGAAGACTCCTAGATTGGTTTTCTTTCGTTTATGGAACTGAAATCGCAAATTTGCGACTGTGGTAACTTCTTCTCTTTTTTAAAGTATTCATTTCAAATGCAAAATTAAAGATTTTCCATTCAAGACAAGAATATCCACTTTTTTTTTTGTTGGATTAAATGACTATAAAATTTAATCTTAATTGATAACAGGTTATAAATGTTGATAGAAAGGGACGTATCATATATGAAGCGTGTAAAACTTGTTATGCTTTCATTAATTTAATAATAAAATATTTCTGTTTTATTTCTAGCTACTGAGTTAATTTATTTCGTTTATCATTTTTTTGTAGAAAAAAAGAACATTATTCTTAAGATATTTGTTTTTTTTTTTTTGTTAAGTTCTTAACTAGAATCTAATTTTGTCTTTAAATTACAATAGACTTTTAAAATTGTTTTGCGTTTTTCAATTTTAATTGCCGTTCTTATCACCGAAATTAAGTTATTGTGATTGCTTTGTATTTTGTTTTGCAATATTTTGAACTCATTTTATATTGGATTGTTTTATATTAGGTTTTTGTATGTATTTGCTAATGTGAGATATTATTGGAAAGTCCTAATTTTGACATTATGCGATACATGACTTGCATTCTGAGACTCTTTCTCTATTTACTTAATCGTTTATGCAAAGTTTAGAACATTCGGTTATCAATGAACAAATTTTTTTTGTTATTTGAATAAAGAAGAAATAATGAATGCGAAAATTCTTCACAACTCAATGAAATACGAAAATTCTCGAAAATTCCCGACGAGTTCTGCTGTTTGTGTTTCTACTGAAAAATTTAAACGGCACTTTTATCAATGAGTTAATCAAACATTTATTTTAGCACTTTAATGCAGAAGTGTTAGGAAACTAACTGTTGAGAAAAACAAATTGTGATAGGCATTTATAGAAAATAATGCCTCTATTTTTCGTATGGCTCTTGAAGAAAACCTCGCAGAAAAGATAGGGCAGGTCATAAAAGTCGATGGGAAATGAAAGTGAAAGCTTTTGTTATTACTTTAATTATTAATAAAAAGTTTTGAAATTACTCTTGGTCAACACCCATTGCATCTAATTTAAAAATCTACATTATTTTCTATTTCTCATTTTCCATTTTTTCGTACGCACTCGAAAGTGAAAATTTTTACAAGTCAGCAAAGATTAATTAATTAATGATTAATTTTTGTAAATTATTGGTTGTTTTTATGTAATCCTACTTGTCATTTTAAGTAACTTAATTAATTATTTTAATACAATTAACAAAATTACAATAATTTTATTTCTTAACTCATAATTACAATTTGATCTTCTTTTTTTTTCGATTAATTTCAAAGCTTGGTCAAAATAAATTGTACATACATTAATTTAAAGTGGATTTAATTATGATTTGTGCTCAACGAATCTAATTGGATTTTATGTGAAATGAAAATGAAATTTCTACTGTTCGAAATGACGTCGTCTTCAATTTGTAATTTGAAACTGTCCAAAACATATTCATTTATACCTGTGTCATACCTATGTGGCGTGTAGTAAATAAAATCATAAAATCTGATATCTGTTTTAATATTATACGTAGATGTACATTGTGAGCTTTCTTCAATAAAAAAATTATTGTCATTTTTTAATGTGGGCCGATTTATATTTTAATAAAAAAATTGAAAGTTAATACGTCGTTTGATAATGCCTACACTCTTGAGTGTACTTTATACTTTTATTATATTGTTAATCGTATATGCTATAATAATTTTGATGACTTTATTTCTACTCTAATAATTTTTTTCCTTATTCAGTGCTGGATTTTCGGAAATAACGATATAAGAAAATTATTAAAGCAAAGATATAAAGTTAGCTCCGCTAACCTTAGGATATTAGTGTTGCCTATTGGTATATTATAGTATTATTAAAATTTTGAAATCAAGATAACGCGGTTGCTGTTTTAATAATTTTTCTGAATTTTTTAAACTTTTTTACCTTTTTACCATTTATTTTAAGTGTGGTACAAATTCTTTGTATGAAATTTTATTATTATACGTATGTTCCAAATATTGTTTTTGGGGGGGCAAATGAATATTTGACCACTTTACGGATTTACCTGGTATAGTGACTAGGGTGTTTATACAAGAAGTATCGCATTTTTTATGACAAAATTATGTCCAAGTTTAATACAAAATTCAACATTCTATGTTAGTTAAAAACTGAGTAACGAGTTCATAATATCATTTGACCTTTATTGTGTACATTCAGAAATGTTATACGATTTTTAAGTGAATTTGATATAAGATGGCCATTATTTTATACTTTAATCATTTCCACTAGACCAAAATGCTATTATTATTATTGTATATATGTATGTGTTATAACTTTCATAAGATTCATGATATAACAATGATACGTGATACTCGTAAAAATATATTGTTTTCTCCTAATTTTTTATATTTTTTCCTCCTATTTGGTGGGAAGAGGTTAGATTTTAATATAATTTTGAATTGAAGAAACTAAATTTTAACTATTGTTAGAAAAAAGTTTTGATAATCTTGAATTTTATATGACCATACAATCCATGGTAAATTTAATCAAGGAAATATGACACGATATTTGTCAATACGGTTAAGAAAGAATAAAACTTATTATCCTATGTCCCTACACTCCGGATTCCAGTAAATTAAAGACACATTTTAAAATTTTTATCTATTGTCAAAGATATTGTATGAAAATCTTCAATTCGTAAATAGTTAGAGTTGCTTTTTTTGGGTTTGCTATATAGCATTTTAAACTGATTTTGAAAATTTGTAGAATGTATAATTGACTTCAAGGGAATTGAACGTGGACTGTCTTATATAGTTTTCCTGTTCCTAGTGCAAATATGGAGATAACCATAAGCGAATTGGACAGCAGTTTTCGAATGTTTGTAAAACTTTTGACGGACCGAATTAGATACTATGAAACCAAACCAATAAAATGGAAAAAATTCAAACTTTTGAACATATATTACTTGGGTTTATGACTTGGGTTAAAACATATTGCACATATTACTTGGGTTTAATTTTTAACACGCTAAAGATATTGTGTATTGCATGTTAGATACTTAAGAAATAGGCCTGAATTTTATCCCGTTTACCTTATATAGTATTTTAATCAGGATTAAGGATAAGAAAACAAAAAACTATTTAAATTAATTAAAACCAGTAATGTTTTAATAATGAAAGTGCTTTTCTGTTCGAGACATAACAAAAGCCTAGTTTAAGAGACATACTCGTAAGCTTTTAAAAATTTTAAAATTTTTGTTTTTATCGTTCTCTTGACCAAAAGTGGTAAAACAAAAGTTTTTTTCTCATCATAGGTTATGACGTCACAAGGTATTAAGCCATTATTTGATTGTCATTAAGAAATACTTTTTCAGTTTTATTTAACTCAGTTCTTTTGAGTTTTATTGAAATTTTTTATCGTAAATGTTTGGTAGAAAATAATCAATAAATTTTTTCTATGAAGTTTTCTTACAACACAAAAATTTGTTGAGATTTTTAAAATCAATAAAGTTGGGTCAAACCAATGGTTTGTATTGTAGTACTTTTCCCTTCAACAAGTGAAAATTCTGCTTTTAAATACAGTCTATGTATACCTATCACACTATTAAAATTATTTTCATTCATATATAAAACTATTTCTAAGATTGCGTATATTTAGGATGACGCATATATGCAGTCTTTGAAATAAAGCAAAAATTAATATAAAGTGGGGTTAACATAATGCTCGATTTTAAGGGTTAATTGTGTGAGTTAAGAAAAATAATTATATTTTTTAATTTCATGGAATTTACCGTTAGCTTTTTGCGTTTATGAAAATTTGAAAAAGCTTGCGGTTTCGGAAATATAAGGTGTCAAAAATT